TTCGTTGATTATAAGAATGACAAGGATGGAGCCTTGGATCCTTCTTCTCAAGACTGATGTAACCACTGCTGCATCTAAATGCCTGATGTATTAACAATAGAGACTGATGCGGAGCTCTCAATTTTGTACCATCCCTCCAACAGTCAACCCACCACTTGGCAGAGAGTTGGTTATATTGGACTCCTTCCACTCAGAAGGAGACAGGCTCATGGTTACTAGGGATGGTTTACCTTCCCCGTCCATAGTGCTTCTGCCAGCATCTTTATCCAAGGACTCACAGAGTATCTGGTTTACTAACATGGGAATCTATGTAACATCACCTGAGACCAAAGGAGCCACTTCACCGTGAAGTTGAGACAATGGCTACGCCACCAGAAGATCTATTGATCCTATCACCCACCACATCATTTGGAAGCTGCTGGCTTGGTAGGATTTTGGGATGCCTCATAAAGGCTTAGCTAAGATGTCAGCTGGGGGTGACACACCATGGGGTTGGGACACTGGTGTTCAAGATGCAGACCAAGCGTCGAGTCATTATCTGGTGTTTGTGTCCCTGGTAGGTAGAATACACAGATCCAGGAAATAAAACTAGGAAGTGGCCTTCTCACCATCATTCCTAAAGACCTACTTGGGAAGTTTGTGCTTCTTGTTTCTGCAGGTTTGGTTTCTACAACACTAACCTGGTTCCTGAAGTGAGTGGGGTTGGCGTGGGAGGAGTGTCTATGCAAAGGACCATAGTCAGGATTTTACTACATCTAAAGTTATTTCTCCTACTCACACATTTTAAACTCCTTAGGCTAGTAAATCCGCAAGCAAAAGAAACGAGGTTCTATGCTGGCAAGATCATTGACCCTGATCATCCCTAGGAGGCAGGTTTATCTATACACTGAGTAGCCAGATTATTATGACCACCTGACGTTTGTAGGCAAATCAGCTATAATTTCACGCCGAAGTTGCTAGAGGGCCAGACCTTATAAATAGGGAAGCAGGTTGTTTACCACGACAGTAGAAGTGAGTTTTTTCTGAAGATATGGGTAAACAACACGATTTAACAGCCTTTGAAAGTGGGCTATATATATATATACATATATATATACTAGAGGCCCGGTACACAAAAATTTGTGCACTCGGGGGGAAAGGGGGGTCCCTCAGCCTGGCCTGTGCCCTCTAGCAGTCTGGGACCCCTCGGGAGATAACAACCTGCTGGCTTAGGCTTGCTCCTGGGTGGCAGAGGGCAGGCCCAATCCCTAGGTGCAACCCCTGGTCAGGCTCAGAGCAGGGCTGATTGGGGAGTTGGGGCGCCACCCCTGTCATGCACAGAGCAGGGCGGATCGGGAGGTTGCGATGCCACCCTCAGTCACACTCAGGGTAGGGCTGATTGGGGGGTTGGGGCACTGCCACCTGTCACACTCAAGGCAGGGTCAATGGGCAGGTTGCGGCGCCACCCCCTGTCACATACAGAGCAGGGCCAATCAGGGGGTTGGGGCGCTGCCCCCTGTCACTCACAGAGCAGGGACCATCAGGGGGGGTTGGGGCTCCATACCCTGTCACGCACAGAGCAGGGTCGATCAGGGGGTTGGGGAGCTCCCCCCGTCACGCACAGAGCAGGGCCCATTAGAGGGTTGGGGAGCTCCTCCCTGTCATTCACAGAGTAGGGCCAATAGGGGAGTTGGGGCGCTGCCCCCTGTCACTCACAGAGCAGGGCCGATCAGGGGGTTGTGGCCCCGCCCCCTGTCACACACAGAGCCGCAGGGCATTCAGGGGGTTTGGGCGCTGCCCCCTGTCATGCTGATCCCGGTGCTGGGAGGCATATTACCCTTTTACTATATAGGATAGAGGCCTGGTGCACGGGTGGGGGCCAGCTGGTTTGCCCTGAAGGGTGTCTTGGATCAGGGTGGGGGTCCCCACTGGGGTGCCTGGCCAGCCTGGATGAGGGGATGATGGCTGTTTGCAGCTGGTCACACACCCTTCAAAGTGGGGGTCCCCACTGGGGTGCCTGGCCAATCTGGGTGAGGGGCTGAGGGCTGTTTTCAGGCTGGCTGGTGACGGAAGCTCCCAACCGCTCCTTTTTTTCTTTTTTCTTTTTTATTCTGGGCCAGCTTTAGCTCTGAGGCTCCAGCTCTTAGGCCTCCGCTGCTGAAAGCAGGTTTCTGGCCTTTGTTTACCTTCTGTATTTGAAACAATGTTGTGATCCTGCTGGCTGAAGCCCAGCGACTAAAGCAGATTTCTGGGGTTTTGTTTAGCTTCTATATTTGTAACATAGTTGCTTAGAGTTGCAGCTCAGAGGCCTGCAGCAGCAGGTGGGGAACATTGGAGTCCTCCGTCACTGAAGCAAGCAAGCCTCATGTTCGCTTCCAGCTGCCTGGCTGCCGGCCGCCATCTTGGCTGGCAGTTAATTTGCATATCACCCTGATTAGCCAATGGGAAGGGTAGCAGTCGTATGCTAATTACCATGTTTCTCTTTTATTAGATATATATATACCTAAGCGACTGTTCGACTGTTCGACCAGTAACTATGACATGCACTGACCACCATGAGGCAGACACTCAATGCATAGGCATGGAAACATGGAACAGACTGATGAATCTCAGAGGGAAAGGAGGTGGGTGGAGGGCGGGAAGAGATTAACCAAAGATCTTATATGTATACTAGAGGCCCGGTGCATGGATCCATACACCAGTTGAGTCCCTCAGCCTGGCCTGTGCCCTCTCACAATCCGGGACCCCTCCAGGGATGTCGGAGAGCCGGTTTTGGGCCCAATCCCCACAGGTCAGGCCAAGGGACCCAACTGGTGCACAATTTCATGCACTGGGCCTCTAGTTTCTATGTAATGGAAACAGAAAGAAGCATGTTTGGAACTCAGGGGACCTCCTGGATTCTTCTTAATGCTTCTATGCTGTGAATGCACAATTGCAACCACCACAGCCTGATGAGGACATACAAACCTGGGGTTCAGATGCCTTGGGGATGAAGGTCCAGCTTGTCTCACTGGGCACACAACCTAGACCAGCAGAAGAACTGGCTGAGAGTCAGGGGAATCCAGGGTGGTGGGTAGAGGAGCCAGAAGATGAAGAGCAGAATTAGAGCCTTAGGACTGACTGTGGCAGGAGGGACTGTAGCTTGTCTTGCTAATATGGCTGGTATTAACCTTTCTTCCCCTCCCCTTTGGAAATTATGACCAGCCACCTTGAAAACTCAGTGACAATACAGATGCCTGAGTGAATTGGGTGGTGGATGGGTGGGCTGTAACAGATGCTGTTGGTCCTGCACTCACATCCTTTTGGCGCTCACTGGTCCCTGTCAGGCAAGCAGGTCCCCACTCTTGCCTGAGGGCTTCTTTGGCCATAGGAGCAAGCTTGGCTTCCAAAGGGAGAGGCCAGAAATCCCAGGAAATAGGGGTAGCCCTCAACTAATGAAGAATGGCAGTTGGTAGATAATCACCAGCTCCCTGGCCCATTGAGTGCCATGTCCCTGAAGTATATTCTCTACAGACTCCCAGAGAATGCCAGCAGAATGGAACCCCAGATATTTAGGTGGCCTGCTCCTTCACACACACTGTGATTGATGTCTTTCTGCCTCTACGGCAGTGGTTCTCAACCATGGCTGCACATTAGAATCACCTGGGAATCTTTTTAAAATCCTGATTTCTGGGCCTCATCCTCCGGAAATTCTGTTTCTTTGTTACTAATGTTGTGGTCCCACCCCATAACAAAGAAACAGAATTTCCGGAGGATGAGGCCCAGAAATCAGGATTTTAAAAAGATTCCCAGGTGATTCTAATGTGCAGCCAAGGTTGAGAACCACTGCTCTACGGCAGGGGTCCTCAAACTACAGCCTGCGGGCCACATGCGGTCCGCCGAAAACATTTATCTGGCCTGCCGGGTGTTTTTGCCGCCCCTGTGTGCATAGGAATTTGTTCATAGTTTTTTTTTAAACTATAGTCCGGCCCTCCAACGGTCTGAGGGACAGTGAACTGGCCCCCTGTTTAAAAAGTTTGAGGACCCCTGCTCTACGGCATCACTTACTGATGCTTCTTGACATTAACTCTCGTAATTAAGCCACGTGCACCCAAATCCTTATCTCCGGTCCAGCTTCTGGGTGAACTCAAACTCAGAAAGTGGTCAAGCCGAATATGAATCCAAATAGTTTGGCTCCAGAGCTCCTGCCTTTGACCACTAGGAATTAGAGCATTATTCCATAAATACAAAGGGTGCCAAAGAGGAGGAAAGGGTCCAAAGACCTTCAAAGGCAGTCTCAAAATCAAATTACTCCAACTTCACAAGCGCTTACAGCCAAGTGTTAATTTTTCACAGCTGCACTTCATTTGGTATCGGCCCCTGTGGGAGAATTAGTAAACACTCATCTGAACATCTCTTTTCCCCCAGTAAGATGTGAATCCATCCATTTAACGTTTTATTTATTTTCCCACATTTGAGGAAAATGTAATTGCATGACACTCAAAGAGGAGACCACTGTTGCTCAAAACAACAAAAATGGCAGGCATGTGAAACAAAATGGTGCATATTCTTTACTTGTTTCTACCAACCAAGTGAGACGTTGCGCCCAGGCCCCCTACACTCCACCTCAGAGCAAAAGACTTGTTCCTCCGCATGCCAAGCTTCATGAGGATATTTGTGAATGGTCCTCATCCACGGAGGGAGGAAAGGAGATTATGAGGGAGCAGGAAAGGACCACATGTCTACCTCTTTGCAATAGGCCTGGGAGGCTCTGGCATTCTTCCGCTCTGCCCACCCTGTGTCCTCTGTCCACCTCCTTCTGAAGCCTTGCCGTCCAATTTGGAGTCTGAACTGGGGTGACCCAGAGCCACTCTGGACAGACAGTGGCCTGGGAAGGGGTTTGCACTTTTCTTAGAGAAGGAGGCAACCGCCTGTGAGGTACGACATCCAGAATCTGAGCCTGCTGGCCCGGAGTAGTGAGCAGTGGCCAGACTGACCCGCGGAGGTGGCTGGCAGGTGTGAAAGTACAAAGCTGCACTCACCGGTCTCTTTCTGGGTTACTTCTTGGTTAACTCCATACACGATGTTGGCAGGAGAATGTAAATCCCAACTCTGGGACCAGGTTAGCTGGTATTACTTAACTTCTCTGGTCTGCAGTATCACCATCTGTAAAAGGACAATACTTATGTCAGTTAGGGTCCCAGCAGGAAACAGATCTATTTTCAAATTGAGAAGAGTTGAATGAAGAGAATCCTGATCAGAGTGGGCAGGATTGGGGACACCAACAAGGGGCAGGGAGGCACTCCTGAGATGGCAACATCAGGGAGCCACCATGGTCCCTAGGCCATGGGGAGTGACCGGAAGGGAGAGTACAGGAATTAGGATTTGCCTGGGGAGGGGGGGGCACTGTGTGACAGAGCTGTGGCTCTCCGCAGAGGCCGCTGCCATTGCCATCACTCAGCCCTGATGTGATTATTCCCATTCCCGGATGCTAGTGCCTCCTGCTGGAGCCCCAGTGGCTGAACCACCTGGAATTTAGAGAATCAGGGAGCCAGGCAAAGGCCAGCCCCCAAAGCCAGCCTCCCAGGCACAGAGCAGAGTGCAGAAGGGCAGAGAATAGACCCTGAGGGGTAGGAAGAGACCGTCCAGCTCAATATGAGCGCATTATTGTATCGAATCAGCGACTACATATGAATTCTTAGAGCCACGCAGGCACGTACTGTGCACTGTATAACCCAGCACAAATGTTATACCCGCATATTTGTCTGTGACGCTCAGCATCCAGGTTGCTGCAGGACGGATGGAGCCTGCCTTATAGGTCCAGCCTGACTCCTGCTTTCTGGGGAGTCTCTCTGCCAAGGCCAAACGCCTGCTTCTCATCCAGGCGTGTGTTCTTCCGGGGCAATGTGGACTGACCTCCACACCTGGCCCTGCATTAGCTCTGAGGCGAGGAGCTCTGGAGTTGGGCTCAGGGAATGAGCCTCATCTGGACAGCCTCACCCCCCCCACCTCTTAAAGTCAGCATCCTCCAGACCATTACCACACGTCAGCCACGTCGTCAGCCACATCGGGGCTGAGCAGATAGTCAGCCTGCACTGGCTTCCTCTCTCCCTATCAGTTAGGGACTGATGGTCAAGGCTCTCCTGCAGAGTCCCACTCCCTTCCAGAATTGAATCTGGCCACCTACCTCTTCTAGGGTTTGGGAATAATAGAGATGGCCACCATCTATTGGCTAAACCAGTGGTTCTCAACCTTCTGGCCCCTTAAATACAGTTCCTCATGTTGTGACCCAACCATAAAATTATTTTCATTGCTACTTCATAACTGTAATGTTGCTACTGTTATGAATCATAATGTAAGTATCTGATATGCAGGATGGTCTTAGGCGACCCCTGTGAAAGGGTCGTTCAACCGCCAAAGGGGTCGCGACCCACAGGTTGAGAACCGCTGGGCTAAACAGTGCATAAGAAGCTCTACATACTTTATGACATTTAATACCTACAGCAACTCGGCCAAGTATTAGTGTCCCATTTTATAAACGAGGACACTAAGACTCAGAAGTTTCACCTAAACAGTGAGGAGGTGGCAGCATCCAAATTAGTCTGTCTGCCTCCAAAGGCTTTTTCATTATAGAATAACTCCCATGGATTCAAACTGAACCATGCATTGTTATTGAAACTTTTCTACAATCACACGTGAGCAGAGGAAAGAGATGTCCTGTCGTTGAAAAACTTACCATGTTGGTGTAAGACAAGATTATAGACATGGAGCAGTCTGAAAATGATCCAAACGTGTTTCAAATCATGTGCCAACCTGAGGCCACGCGTTCTGCGTGTTGGAGGAGCACTGGGAAAGGGAGGAGTGTGGGAAGTAATAGTGAAGTGGGGCTGGGAGGGGAGGCATGCTCTGCCGGGAGACGTAAGAAATGTCCATGGAGGGGAAATCAATAGAGAGAGAGAAGGAAGACAGGAGCAAGGCCGGCCAGTGGGAGAGAACACTGACCTAGCTAAAGAGGAAGGAGTAGAAAGTAGCAGAAACTGAGGTGGGACGAGAAAGTCCTTGTGAGCTATGAAGAGGCATTTAGACCCAACGAGGAAGCAAAAGGAACTTGTGATAGCTGTGGAGGGGCAGGGGCAAATAGACGACACAGAGTGTTTGGAAGGCTAAGACGTCAGGAGTAAAGGCAGGGCCTGAGGGGAAGGAGATGAAAGTTGCAGCCACCCTTGGAGAGAAGAACTGGCCAGAGTTGGTGACGAAATAGAGCAGCCGAGACGAGGAAGACTCCCTTTCCATCAGGTTCAATAAAGGGGCTGGGGAATTGCTGGGGGGTGGAGCCAACTGTAAGTCCAGCTCATTTTAACAGCTGGATTGGAGGTTTTTCCTAAAGGAAATGAACACCGCCCCTCTGATCAGAGAAACAAAATGTATCGTGTGTTTTTTTGGCTGAGGATGGGGATCTCCCCTCCTGATGGTTTAGAGAAAGCTTTGACTAAATGCCTCTCAACTTAGAGGTCCCCTCTGCCTGTCCTGAGCTGTGTGTGACTTCAGGGTCAGGGCTCAGGGGTTGGGGAACGGACGGAAGAAGGGCCTCTCCCTCCTCCCAGTGGGGGAGGTGTGTCAACGTGTTCTTGATGGTCCAAAGGAGAAATCTAAACAAGTCCAATTTGTTGTCTTGTTAAATCTCGAGGAATTCAAAATACGTTGTTATTAGCCAACCAGTCAAACGCTGTTTACTCATTGAGCGAAAGTCCCGATCTCCTTCGACCCTGTAAAGATTTTATGCTCATCACTCCCCTCGGTCTATCTTTATGAAAATACACACTTCCCTTTTTGTGACGACGTCCAAGGAATTGTTTCCAATAACTGTTCCCACGAGTGAATTGTGAGCTCTATAATCTCTCCATGAAGATCTTGTCTTTCCTTGACAACTAGCCCTTGTTGTAAATGTAGGTGCTTCCCTGCAAAATTAATTAATTCATTCATTAATTAAACTTTGACTCTGATAAGTGGGTCAGTTTTCGTTTCCTTTTGGGGAAGCCACATTCCACATTGTTAAAGGCACTTGATTTATAGACGACTCTTCTCCCTACTCCTCCCCGCTTCCCCATTTATTGAGCACCAGATAAGAGCTGGATTTATTTGTTCTTACGAGCCCTTTAAATATTTGTCTCTATGCATATAAATTAAGGGAAACTGTTCTTCTGCCTTGATAACAAACAACATACTTCAGGTCTAAAGTATGCCTCATGTTGTGTAACCTTTCCTCCAAAGAATTTGTGTGTGTGTGTGTGTGTCTGTGTGTGTGTGTCTGTGTGTGTGTGTGTCTGTGTGTGTGTGTCTGTGTGTGTGTGTCTGTGTGTGTGTCTCTGTGTGTGTGTGTCTGTGTGTGTGTGTGTGTCTGTGTGTGTGTGTGTGTGTGTGTCTGTGTGTCTGTGTGTCTGTGTGTGTTGGAGGTGGGGGTGGGAGAGCAGAGTGGACAGAAGAATGGGAGGGGTGATGTAAAGTTTCTTTGGAACCTGATGCTGGTGGATGTTTGGTGTCAGCCCTTGAAGAAATAACATGTGCTCCCAATTTATTTGAAGAAATAATTTGAAATGACTGCTCCCATCTAGCCTTGGCCTCTCTCAGACCTGGGAAGAAGTTGCAACACCGTCACACAGGGCATTTCCTAATCAGCGGTCAGACATGAACCACAGCCCCTGTTTGCACATTCCCTCTCACAGCAGGAGCCCGGCCCCATCCGCCCAGGCTCTGCCAGCCATCAGGAGAGGGGGTGTGGGCCTCCTGAGGGACGTTGGCCTGAATGTTTGACTGGGCAGAGACAGAGCCTGGCATCAGAACGAGAATCTATCAGGTATCTGGTGGGTTTTATGGGCCACGGAGCCCAGTCAAGAAATGCAGCTCCATGGTGAAAGGGGAGGTAAGGAGTGGACCATGGCTTTCCCTCATGTGCTAGGACTTCTAGAAGCCTCCTGGATCATCTGACTAGAGGAAGGGGCCCAGTGCTCTTGACCCCTGGCCTGATTAGCCTTATACTCCCCTTCACTTCTTCCCAACGAGATGCCGCCATGTGCCTTTCTTACCTTGTCGTGGGTGGGGAAGCAGCTTCCTGTGTCGGCAGGAAGTGCATAGAGAGCCCCTAACTGGACTGGAAACTTAGCTCAGTTTCATGCTTGCTGTGCGGCTCCTTCGTGTGTATAGCCCTGCACAGGTTCCCTCCTGCCTTCAGATCCACTGCTCCCGACCGACAACGAGTGGCTTTTACGACCGACTTGGATTCACGACCCACATGTTGGTAGGGTGCCTAAGTCTGGCTCACCTTTCTTGGCCCAGGACTGCCTCTCCCGGGAACGCCCAGCTTCCGTCATGGCAAACGGGACACCCCTTTCTCCGAGTCCAGGCTGTCCTACCCGGAATGTATGTGCGATCAGGGAAGCAGAGATTCTGGGAAAGGAAGGGAAAGGCTGTGACATGCAGGATGCGCTCCGGGCAGCACCTTGTAGAGGAAGCTCCTGGTGAGGCTGCCTGCCAAGGACATGCTCCCTGGTGCTGTCCGAGGTCACACAGCACGCTGTGTCATTGACTACAGATCCATTTGTGTGAACTTGGACTCTCTTTGGAAAGCGCTGTACCAGTCCTCTGGGAGGGGGTGTCAGGTCTCCATCAGATCTAGATGAGAGGCAAGGGGGTTGATCTAATCTTGCCCAGCTGGGATGAGTTGCACCTAGAGAAGGGGAGCTCTGGGATGAGGGGTGGGATTGGGCATGTAGGGAGCAAATGTAAAGGTGGGAATCTTTTATTTTTTATTTTATTTTACTAGAGGCTCAGTGCACAAAATTCGTGCACTGGAGTGGGGGGGTTCTTCAGCCCAGCCTGCACCCTCTCCAATCTGGGACATCCCTCTCACAATCTGGGACTGCTGGCTCCCAACTGCTCGCCTGCCTGCCTGCCTGATTGCCCCTAACTACTTCTGCCTGCCAGCCTGATCACCCCCTAACCACTCCCCTGCCAGCCTGATCAACACCTAACTGCTCCCCTGCCGGCGCAATTGCCCCCAACTGTCCTCCCCTGCTGGCCCGGTCACCTCTAACTGCCCTCCCCTGCCGGCCTGGTCCCCCCCCAACTGCCCTCCCCTGCTGGCCTGGTTCCCCCCCCAACTGCCCTCTCCTGCAGGCCATCTTGTAGTGGCCATCTTGTGACTACATGGGGGTGGCCATCGTGTGCGAGGACATGACGGTCAATTTGCATATTACCTCTTTATTGTATAGGATTATTATATAGGATGTTTTAAATATATTTTTATTGGTTTTAGAGAGTAAGGGGGGTGGGTGAGAGAGAGACATCAATGATGAGAGAGAATCATTGATTGACTACCTCCTGCACACCCCCTACTGGGGATCAAGCACACAACTTGGGCATGTGCCCTTGACTGGAATCAAACCTGGGACCCTTCAGTCCGCAGGCCAATGCTCTATCCACTGAGCCAAACCAGCTAGGGCTGGGAGTCTTAGGTGTAGGACCCATGTGGATGGCTGTCTTATTGAAGGTCTTAGCATATCATAAGACTGCTTGATACGGAGGCTCAGAGGGTAGGAGATGAATGGGCAAGAAATAAAAATATTTATTTGCTTCAAAAGTTTATCTTGGCTGGTCCAGCTCTCAGGTAAGGAAGAGAGAGCTACATGTAGCTGGAGTAAAGGAGTCACTGCTTAACCCCTTTGACGGCAGTTTCCTGTCTCTTCAATTCAGCTCGCTCACTCCTGCCAATTTTACTCTCCTAACTGGTTCTTCATGGCACTCCCTTGCTCAAGAACATACCATGGCTCCCTATTACCATTTGGACCAAGTTCATTATCCTCATTAAGTTTTAAAATAATCTGACTCTCACCTTAAATTTTAGACTCTTTTACCTAGAATCTAAAAGTCAAGGTCAATGTTATTAGACGCTTTCTTTCCACATTATAAGAATGGAAACCCTGAGGAGGGGGTCATGTTCCTAAGACATCCATCATGATCTTTGTGTGCCTTACAACCTTTACTGCTATGGGTGAATCGGTTCAAAATGTTGGAAGCCACTGGTCTTCAGAATGAGTTTGCCAAACGTGAAAAATGTATCTTTCAAAATACGACGAAAACGCAATCCCTGTGAGCAGGAAAGCTCTCCTCTGGCAGGTCTTTTCTCTTTCACCTCCATTGCTTTTTCGCCATCTCACAGGAACTGTGGGTGTCCTCCTTGTTTATTAAAGAGGCCGAGGCTCGCTGAGGCCCCCTGTGTGCCAGGACAAAGAGGGGAGCAGGGCTTGATGGCCATCCTCTGGTCAGTGTTCTTCACACAGCACTGTCCGTCTGTCCCTACAAAGTCCTGTTAACACGTGAGATGAAAAGTCAGATCTGCTTGCTCTTCTGTCAAAGGCAGCACCGCTCTGGGCACCTGAGGGCCCCACGCTGCCGGGCCTCACCCTCGTGAGTGGTTTAGGGGGCGCGTGTCCAGCCCTGAGTACTACCAGACACAGCCCCTCAGAGCTCCCAGGGCACACAATGACTTCTGTCTCATCCTGTGTCCCTGGGCTTTCCATCAACTTGTCCCTGTTCACCAATCCACCAAGTCCAGGCCTAGACCTCTCCCCAACCAAACAAAACACCAGTGAAGACAACTCTCTCACGAAAGTCCCCGAATCACAAGCTCAGAGAGGGCCAGGGAGGGTGTGGGGAAAGGGAAAGAGAGGAGGAAAGAAGAAAAAAAAAGCAAGCTGGAAAGAAATGTCCAAGAACTTACTTTTCATGCCAAGGAGTCGCAAAGAATGGTGGCCCTCGGAGCCAGTGACACCTTTTTGGATGAGTCAGCCACTCCCTGCCCAGCAAGGCAATAACTCTGCGCCTCTGAAAGGGTCCTTTACGAAATCGCCGGTCCGGGGAGCACGTGCGGAAAGTTAATTGAAACGCTTCCCACAGGTGCTTACACGGGGCGGTGCCTGAGTGTGGCCATGGAGGCCGGCCCCCGCCCAGGGCCCTGCGGCTGGCTGCTGTGCCCACAGGCTCCCAGGCCGCAGGGCCGGGCCACCGGGCACAGGAGGCGTAGCTGGCCGCTGCCCTCCGATGAACCGCTGCCTGCTCTCCCGCCAGCACGGCTCCATTGCATTTACAAGGTATTTCTGGTACTTTCAAGCTCAGAATTAGCATTCCTGCAGCCCGGCGAGGGGCCACGTCCTCCATGCTGATGAAGCAATGCCTGTGCTTTTAGTTTATATTTTAGGAAGAGTTACGAGTGCCTGAGGGTGGGGCAGGAGAGGGGGCACCTGAGAAAAGGACAGAAAGGATTGCACGTGAGGACGAGAGAAGACAGGGTGGCCATTGGTGGGCGGGGGACCAGGACAGAGGCCTCACCAGGCGATCCTGCGGTGGGACCTTCTGTGCCGTGGGACCCTCGGCGGCCTGGGGAAGCCTGAGGGTCCTTCTCAGAATAATGTTTTTAACGCAAATAAAACTCATTGGTTTACAGAGCAGACCTGTTGTGTGGAAATAAGGTTAGCAAAGTTCTTGAAAGACAAATTTGCGATGTAATAATATATGTGCTTTTGGGTTCATGCATTAAGTGAGATCCAGTGGTGGGCCTGTCAATGGTCTTATTTTAGAGGCAGGGGCGTTAGTAGATGCTATTTCAAGACAAGTGCAATGACTCTCATTCGATATGAAATACCTTTGATTTTTACTGGTTAAAAAAGCTGTAGGGACTTCTCTAAGTGGTGTGGTTTGTTGCCAAGCTTTATAATCGAAGGAAATGCTAACTGCCCATGGGAGGTTAGTGAGAGAAAGCTGTAGGTGTTTTTATTCGGCTTTATGAACATGCTGAGTTCTCTCTGTGGGTCTGTCGGCCCCCAGATGAAGGACCTGGGCCAACCCAGAGCGGGAAGAAGGCTGGGGCCCCAGACCCGGTACATCACCCGGGCCACTTGGCTGGTGGTTGTTAATTGCTGTTGATGAGAGGCTTGGGCAGAGAGTTCTCGACTGATTTCTTGCACTGGTTGTAACGCTCATTATTTAAAGCTCATTGAGACATGCCCGTGGATCACAGATTGCACAGCTGAATTCGCTGAAAAGATGGTTGATTGGAAAGCTGCCCGGGAGAGGAGGAGGGTTGTCGTGGCGCATCCGCAGGGTGTTGGGAGGAGGGCGCTGCTCCTTGGGGGCCTCCTGGGCTGGTCTCCAGCCGCGTGGGGGGGGGCGGTCACCTGAGAGTGTGGCATCAGGCTGTGCTTTCCTGTGGGCGTGGAGGGAGACGGTAGTTCACCAGGCTCAGAGGGCAAAGGCTCCCGGGGGGCAGTTTTCTTCTCACATTGTTTTGCTGCCCCGTTTGGGCTTCTCCCAACTCTTTCAACATGTAACTCCTCTCCTCGGCTCTGCCAGCCACCTGACTCCACCTGCCTATCAGGGGCACTGGGAAGGGTGTGGAGCAGGCAGAGCTCTGCCAGTGCAAGCTCCTGAAGTCAACAGCTGTTGCTCCTAAGTTGCCAAGGCAACTTGTTCTTGGTGACCATACTGGTGGCAGGAGAGAGGCGAGGCATGGACTCTCCCTCAGAGGCCCCAGGAGTCAGCCTGGCTGACCCCCCACCTCAGACCTCCTGCCTCTGGAACCCGGACAAGTCATTGCTGTGCTTGGAAGCCACCCAGGCTGCAGTGCTGTTCCAGCGCCAGGAGCCAGCACCCCTCCCCTCCCCTCCCCTCCCCGCCCCTGCTCCCTGCGCAGATGACTCCGAAGCCCAGGCATCCCGGTTTGGGGAGGGGGCCGGCTAGCATTGCAGGAGCTCATTTCCTTCTTCTCTGAGTAACCCTCCTAGAGAAGCAGCCCGCTCGGATTCAGAGAGAGCGGCTGGTCCCGGGGGCATTATCTGTGGGTGAAGTAACACCAGTCCCCAAAGGCGGGCCCTGAGGACCATCGTCTTTCACCAGCCAGGACGCTGCGGGGTGCAAAGTGCACTTCCTTCTGCCTGTGCTCTTGGATGGGGTGGGAGGGGTTAGAGAGAGGTCATCCCATCCCGCCTGAGCCTTTGAGTTGGGCTGTGAAAGAAAAACGTGAGCTGTGATCCCAGACGCCTGCTCCGACGCTGGGGGGCGGGGGGGGGGAGGGAGGGGGCGGGGGGGGGGGAGGGAGGGGGGCGGGGGGGGGGGGGGGGGGGCGGGGGGGGGGGGGGGGCGGGGGGGGGGGGGGGGGGGCGGGGGGGAGGGAGGGGGCGGGGGGGGAGGGAGGGGGCGGGGGGGGGGGGGGGGGGGGGGGGGGGGCTGGGTTCCATGGCCTGTGCAGCAGAGCATGGGAGCTTCTGCAAAGGCACGTGCTGCAGCCCAGGCTCGGGAAGGGGCCGGAGGCTGTGCAGTCCTTGGCCTGGCTGGGAAGAAGGAAGTTTGCTTAGAGATGCCAAGGGGCAGGGAGCGAGGAGCCGAGTGAGATGGGAGAGGCCTGGACTCCACCCAGAGGGGCCACCCGGCAGCCCTCGGTTGCGGGCCTGACCAAGGGGCTTCTAGGAAGAGGCGTGGCTGGGAGTGATGGTTTAATTGTACACTCAGTGTGAGATGGTGCTGTGACGGCCCACTCTGGTTGCTAAATCTTCAGCAAACGTACGTACACAGCCCTGCATGCATCGCCCTTTGGGGGAAAGAAGGCGGTGTCCTGCGGGGTGTGCTGGGAGTGGGCACACGGAAGAGAGCCGCACAGGAAGGAAGGTCTCGACAGGGGAGCAAGCGGGGAGCTTCACAGCTTCAGAAAGAAGAAAGAAAGAGAAGAGAAAGAGCACTTCTGGCCAGAGCGATCCAGCAGGCAAATGAGATACATAAGCTAAACTCCCAGCAGGTGGAGCAGAGGTGTGCGTGCGTGTGTGTGTGTGTGTGTGTGTGTGCGTGAGTGTGTGCGTGCACGCCCCCATACCCCTGAGTTGTGCTATGGCCGGTTCTCTTAAGATGTGGAGGGAGCTCCCAGAGGAGCCCACATCTTGCAGCTCTATTCTTCTCCATGAAGCAGGAGAGGGGCAGTGGAGAGGGGGCTGGTACTTACAGGAGAGGGGCAGTGGAGAGGGGGCTGGTACTTGCAGGAGAGGGGCAGTGGAGAGGGGGCTGGTACTTACAGGAGAGGGGCAGTGGAGAGGGGGCTGGTACTTGCAGGAGAGGGGCAGTGGAGAGGGGACTGGTACTTGCAGGAGAGGGGCAGTGGAGAGGGGGCTGGTACTTACAGGAGAGGGGCAGTGGAGAGGGGGCTGGTACTTACAGGAGAGGGGCAGTGGAGAGGGGACTGGTGCTTGAAAAGCATAGGAAGTATTTGTCAGCAGAAGATGTGGACAATGGCCCTGGCTGGTGTGACTCAGTTGGTTGGAACCTCGTCTCATACACTGGAAGGTGGTGGGTTTGATCCCCGGTGCAGGAGGCAACCGATGGATGTATCTCTCTCATATTAATGTTTCTCTCTCTCTCTCTCTCTCTCTCTCTCTCTCTCTCTCTCTCTCTCTCTCTCTCTCTTCCTTCCTCCCTCTCTAGAGGAAGGAAGGAAGGAAGGAAAGAAGGAAAGAAAGAAAGAAAGAAAATATGTGGACAATAAAAGTGAATGTAAAGCAACCCAAATGTGGGGGTGCAGGAGGAGCTCTGACAGATCTGCTGTGGGAGGAGAGGGGCAGGACTTTGGTGTTTCCTGCGGGGGGGGGGGGGGGGTGCGAGGAGGGGGTTTCTAAGGTCTGGACTAGTTTCCTAGGGCTGCTATGATAAACCACCACAAACTTAGTGGCTTAAATGACAGAGAGTTATTTTTTTGCTCTTCTGGAAGCCAGAAGTTTGAAAGCAGTCTCACTGGGCTAAAACTGAGGTGTCAGCAGGGTCATGTTCCCTCCAGAAGTCCTAAGAGGGGATCTGTTCCAGCCTCTCATGACTCCTGAGGCTGCCAGAATTCCTTGGGTTGTGGCCACATCACCACAGTCTCGGCCTTTGTGGTCACATTGCCTCCTTCTCTTCTGTCTGTGTGTAGTGAAATCTCCTTCTGTTTCCCTCCTGGAGGGATACTTGTGATTGCATTAAGGCCCCTGCAGGTAATCTATACTAATAAAAGGGTAATATGCTAATTAGACCGGATGTCTTCTGGACATCATTCCGGACGTCCTTCCTGACAAAGCTGGGACCTGGGGGAAGCCAGCCCGGGTCCCAGGTAATTGCAGGCGGCCCAGGCGAAGCCAGCTGGGGTCCCGGGTGCCTGCGGGCAGTGGGAGGAGGAAAGCCCAGGTCCCGGGTGCCGGAGGGAAGCTGTGCTGGCAGCCAGGGGGAAGGAAGGCCTACTCTTGCACAAATTTTTGTGTATCGGGCCTCTAGTCTAGAATAATGTCCTCATCTCAACATCTTTAACTGAATCACATCTGCCAAGATCACTTTTTCTGTACATTGATATTCATAAGTTCCAGAGATTCAGACCTGATATCATGGGCACCATTAGTGAGCCTATTATAGGTCTTTTGAGGCAGAAAAAACAGGGAAGTAAAGACCACAGAAGCTGGAGACAGGCACCTAGACTTGGTATCTAGGCTGATGTGAAGCCACTAGAGACGAAACCTTCACAAAGGGTAGCTTGTGGGGACAGGTAGACAACACGGCCAGGGCCGGCCTCCTGGGCACCTGCAATTGTGGCCACCCTACCTTTTTCTGAATTCCTACAAAGCCATCTTTCTCTAAATGCCTTGCCAGTTTCACAAGGCACACATATGCAAAACAGAAAGGAAAATGCAGAAAAAGCAGCCCTCTTTGGTCATGAATTTGAAAGGCTTAGCTACAAATGTAGTGTGAAATCGCCTGAAATTCCTGGCAGCAGACATGAGTCACATATTACTGTCTGACATTTGCAGAACATTCTTCACAGCAGTTTCTAGACC